CCCCAAAACCCCAAAACCCCAAAACCCCAAAACCCCTAAATACATTTCTGATATTGAATCTTAATTCTGCCAAATCTGTATGATTACTTGTTGGTGAGCACTCTGTAGCCTTGCCACCCAACCGATGCTGAGTCATAGTCATTCCTAAAGGTTAGCCAATGCTTACTCTTTGATGTAGCGCTCAAGCACTTTCGATGGTCCGTCGCTTGGGTTGATGATCAGGCACTTCTCGAAGTGCTTGTGGGCCTCTTGCCAGTCGCCTTTGAGGTAGTTCTTGAAAGCTTTCCTGTAGTTGTTAATGAAGGGGCCTCTCGAGTTCATGTTGTGGAAGTGGAGCACTCGCCTGATTTCTTTGTCGCGCTTCAGCAAGTCTGAAGTAGTGATTTCTTCGTTCAGAATTTTGTTGTAGAGAATGCTCTTTTCTCGGTTGACCTCGCTCTGGCGTTCTTTAGAGTCCATCTTCAAGTACTTGTCTTTATGTTTCGGCAAGTTTGACACATCCACTTCGAATGTGTAAAGTCGAAGAGGCTCAGCCACTCCTTTGAGCGTGCACCTGTCTACACAGCGGCACTTCGCCTGGAAGTCTTTGCTCAGCATGTCGTACAGTGGCTCACTCAGCAAGAACTTGACTCCATATTGCTTCGTCGCTGCTTCAAGTCTGCTTGCAAGGTTTACATGAGGAGACAAGTACGAAGCATCGATCTTGAACTGAGAACCGATGAGGCCTTCGATGGCCCACCCAATGTGTAGACCGAAGCCCATCTGGATTGAGTACTCTGGAATCCGTTCATTGAGCTTCTCATTTTCACGATATGCTAGAATGTGTTTGTAACTGTTGATCTTCGCAATGATTTTGACAACACAGTACACAGAGCAGTCACATATCATTTTGATGATGCCTTTCTCATCTTCATTGAGATCGTGACGCTTCCGCATGAAGTCTTGCAGCCTGTACGCAAACGGTTTGGCTTCTGAGAACGAAGCCAGCTTCCACACATACAGAAATGCGTCTCCGATGTTCTTGTTGTTGCTGCCTCCGAACTTGACAATGTTGACATGTACTACTGCAGCGATCTGGTTCACGAACTTCATCACGTCGGTCTGGAGCACTTCAGTGGCATCTGTGAAGTTCCTGATGTCGCAGAAACCATAAATGCCAATCACTTTTTCACCTCGAATGTCGACATCGAGACCCTTGGCTTTGCCCATGTTCTTGATGATGATTCCGGTTCCGGCTTCTCCGTAGCCTACTGCCATCAAGTATGCGATCTTGGTGATACTTTTGTCGATCAAGTGGATTTCTTCGTTGTTGCTTTTAGAGTTGGACTGGAGCAAACTGACAATGCCAGCTTTGCGTCCGAAGTCTTCTTGTGTAGCAATCATGGGATCTCTCCCTAATATGGTGACTTTCTCGTACATGCTTTCAAGCGGATAAATGACATACTTGTTCAAGTCCCTACAGTAAGACAAAACAATACCTGTTGATGTAAATGACGAAGCCAATCAAGAAGGCTCCACCGATGAAGTAACCACAAATTCCGCACACCGAGTACAGTTTGATGGACCTGCTGAGGTCGGCTGTAAACGTGTACTGGCCTTCGCTGATCTGGATGAGCTCGAGCGTTCGGATCTTGTCGTTGACCCAGTCTTCTGCCTTCCACTCATAGCCAGGGCCTTTCAGACCGACAATTCTGTCAAAGTCGTCTTTGTGGTTGTCGACGATGAAGTTCATTTCTGAGAGGTAAGCTTGCTGGTCTCCGAGACTTCTGGTGCGCTCAACCATTTTCGCCATTGGCACAAACTCTGAAAGCCAAGGCTTGTATGTAGTGGAAATGAACAGAGGTATTCCAAACACAACTGCAAAGAAGCATGTTAGTGTTCTTTTGATTGTCAAGAGTGAGGCTTTCTTTTCGAGTTTTGTTTGTTCGCTCAATGCTTCTTGCAACTCTTCGCCTTGCTGTGTTTCGTTGGATTTCATTGAGTTTAGCAGCGCGATGTTGACGTTCGAATATCTGGAAACTCTGACTGACTTTTTGCTACTGGTGATTGTGTGCAGTGAAACATTGCTGGCTTTGTTTCTACGAGCAGTTCTCAAATCAGAAGCTTTATTTAGACAAAATTGTATCGAGGTTAGCATTTCTGTTCATGGCGTATCCTCTCTTCTTTTTGTCTCTTCTGTGGAGTTTCTTTCTGAGTTCAGTGACTTTCGAGATCAGACGTTTTCTGCTCCACTATACAATGTTAAACATTATTGATCGGCTGTTGTACAATGCCACAAGCACCAATTTGAGACTGCACAGCAATGCAACGATATGGCGATACTATGTAAACCAATTTGCTTTAATCTGAAAGCAAGAATGTGTAACAGAGCCACAGTTAGCATTAATGCATCACAGTTGCGAGAACTTACTTGTTTGTAGGCCATTACGATATCGGTCATGCGGACAATCATGATGACTTTCGAGAAACTGAGCACAATGAAGATTGAAACGTTGTCTGCGAACGAAGAATACACGATGATGAAACAGGCAGCTATGTCTACAAAGAAGTAGAACCTGAAGAAGTAGCCGACTTCTGCAATTGACCTCAGCAGGATGTCGAATGCAAATATTGCTATGGATCAGACTCAAACTTACTCACAAAAATTATGGTGAAAGTGAAGAAGATAACATCACTGGACTTGTCAAGGAAGAGAAGCTTGAAGTGGTCGTTGAGAGCAAGCCAGTAATAAACAGTAATGTATACAGCCTTGTAAATATTTGAGTTTTGTGTTTTCTTAAACTAGACCTGTTCCAGATCCTTTATTCATATTACTTCTTGCAGTTTCTGACTCAGTGAAGGGAATACTGCCTTTCGGTTTTGGAGGATCTCTTCTGACTTCTTGAATCATTGGAAGATTGGATGTCTTATTTAAGATTAGGGTTATTCGACCTAACGTTTGTGTCTGCGCTAGGCACTCCTGTCCCTGAATTTGATTTCTTTATGGACTTTTTTGGCCTGATTTCTGAATCCATTAAGCGTACTTCCTTCTCATTCTTTAGGGATTTATTACCTCTCATTATTGGTTTCTAGATAGATATTCGATATTAAGCCTTATAAGAAGAACAGTGTGAAATAGAGCATATATTGCTAAATTTGGACAGCATTATTGCTTCTTTCATGAAATAGTTGTAACAAAAAATTTGTCTGGATTTTCTGATCTTGGCTTAAAGTTGGGAACTTACCTCGATATCATTTGGGTTAGGAATCATTTTTTTTGGCTAAAAGATAAGGGGTTATCTTTCACAATTATCTTCTGAGGAGTAAATATTGGATATTGTATGAAGTAATATTTTTGTATCAAGAGAAGTATAGGGACTCCCTCATGTACATTATCTTGACAGATCATACATAGAAGATGTATAAAATAGAGATAAGGGTACATAAAGGATTCCTAAAAAGATCAGGAATATGATGACATCATTATAGGATTAATCTTAATGAAGAAAATATAGTGAGAAGGATACGAAGAAGCACCTTAAAAGATAAAATGATTTACAGAATTAGAAAATGCTAACACTAATCCTCCTCTATCCGATAGTCAAATAGGATGAATTCAAAAGCACATAATCTCCCCTCTACCTGTTTATTTCCAGTCTTAGGCTTGGGCCTAAGTTGCTCTAAGTCATCTGGCTCCTCTTCCTCTTCTTCCTCTTCATACTCATCTCCACTTATATATTTATGTCCTCAGGCTGCTGGAATTTAGTGGGGTTGGCCGCAGCCTTGGGGTTTTCTATAGAGGAAAGGTTGAATTTTAGGGATTTTTGAGAATTTTAGAAGGAAATTTTACTTTGGGGTCGAGGGTTGGTCAGGTCTAGGATGTTGTCGAGGTTGTCTGTGTAGGGAGATGCGTTGTTTTGGCCAGAAGGACCTAAGGAAGGTTATATGAGAGGTGTTTTACCATCAGTGTAGTCTAATTGGTCCTCAAAAGGCTTAATTCTGTCAGCCGGTTGGTTGTTCTTAATAACTATTGCAGACTTTCTGTTTGCAGAGTTATGCAATAAATCTGAAGTCTCGTCACCTTCTTTCTTGCCTACAAAAGATAAGATTCACCGATATTTAATGAAATAGTGAAGGTATTTTAAATGAAAATTTGTATAAAATTTAAATCTTTGTTTCTTAGTTGGCTATTATTCAAGCAAATCACATCCCCAGAACTCACCGAAAAGGCCATTATTGGAGTTACTTACTTGAATTACTACTGCTGACCAAAAACTGCTGCTTTTGCTTGCTTTTTGCAATCAAATGCTTTTGAATCAAACTGCTGAAGCCATTCATTTTTATTATTATATTTATATATTCAGCACTACGATGTCTATTTGGGGTTTTGGGGTTTTGGGGTTTTGGGGTTTTGGGG